TATTGTAACCTTCACTGTTGGGTCAGGACAAATTCAGAAGGCTAGTGTTCCACTAACAGTGATAAAGGAAGCAGATAAAAAGAACCAGTAGATCACTGTTGTCTCCCCTTAGCCCGTTATACTCTACAAAAACATTACTTTTCATCATTTCAAAGATAATAACATGAAGCTGGATAGAAGTCTCCCAAACTCCACTCACTAGAAAATGCTACACTTCCCTTGGGTTCTTGACTATCAGGCTTCTGATGCCAGCACTGTTCAACCACGAACTTCTCAGAGGGGTTTCTTCCATCCCTGTCACACTGATTTAAATACTGGAATTAGAAGGTCACTTTCCAATTAGACTTATGAGAAGGAATACTGAGCAACAGAGTAAAAACAGTCTTTTGATCTGCATGTTATTCCATTTCCCTTTTCTGTAGACTGTTTGAGGAAATCTCACGAGTTTCAACATTCAAGTACAACTCCCTACTACATACAATACAGCATATTATATATACTTCTATGTAGCTCTTTTCCTGAAAGCATTTTTTGTTAAAATAATCCCCTCAAAGACCATCTTTTTCATTTCCCTACTTTCCTAAAATACTGGCACAGTCTTGAGTCTCCACAAGGGGAATGTACTCTGAGAAGTGTGGGGATAGATAGCCCTTCATCACTGAAAATATTAGAATACACTTCAAGTAGGCTATGTATAACCCAAGAAACACCACTTGTATAATCCACTAATCAAAATACTGGCACACAGTACACAAGTCTACATATGCTTCTTTGTGACTTTTTTCTTTTTACCAATAAAAGGGGGTTAAGAAAATACCAACGATAATGGGAAATTGTGTACAGTCATTGTAAAGAATGGTTTCTGGTGTACTGATGAACTTTTAAAATTTTAAGATTGATTCATTCTTCATTCTAAGACACTGAAAAAAGAAGCATTATTACCTGGCACATTTCAGCAGGAATAATCTAAGCAGCATTTACCATATACAAAGCACTGCAATCAGTGTACTGAGGAATTAAGGGAGGCATGCTTTGTTATGCAGACAAATGCCATTTGGTGTGGGTTAGCCTTAAGCTGAAGATTTACCACTATGCTAAAATCATCACCCACTTAGCATCTACATTAGATACCAGGCTAGGTATTGAGACAAGGGAGGAAGATATATGATGCCAAAATACAAGTCACAGACACTGAATATTAAGAGCAATCTTAAAGAATATTTCTGTCTCTCTCTTTTTGCGTGCGTGCGTGCGTGCGTGCGTGCGTGCGTGCGTGCGTGCGTGCGTGCGTGCGTGCGTGCGTGCGTGCGTGCGTGTGTGTGTGTGTGTGTGTGTGTGTGTGTGTGTACACTGTCTAAGAGGAGGGCAGGAGATGGAGTGTATTTTCTCTTTCTGCCTTTAACATATATTCTGGGCTGACTAAGGTGATCATGCTTGCATGGCAAGCACTTTTATCTGCTGAGCCATTTTGTTAGCCCAAGAATATTTTTAAAATGTCAGTTATTGACTATTATATAGATTGAATAATTTACTGAACATTATACCAATGTTTTTATTGTTATCTCAGCAGAGATATCTGTTCAACTTCTCATTCAGCAGAAAATGAACACATTTTCTTTAAAACAAAGGTGTGTTTTTCTTTTGCTAGGGAGAAACATCTACCTGGACAGGAAAGTGATAAACTACCTAATGATGTAAAAACGTACACATCTATGTATGTTTCATACTCTCTAAATAACCAATCAATTATCAAGCACTTAAACTTTGAAGAACAAACTCTCAATGTAAATTAGGGTTATACATATATGCAACTTCTAACCACTACCTGGCCACCCCCTCCCTGCCTTTTCCAAAAAGAAAAAGATAAAAAACAGTTCTTGACTTTAAGGGAGGACACCTGGCTTGGTGCTGGAAATGGAAAATAAATATGTGCTTATTCTTTGTGATACTTTTGTAGATGGTATCTCAGAAAAACAGACTGACAAATAGGTAAATGGGAGCAGTGCAACGGAAATGTTCAAAGGGGTGGATCTGAGATAAATTGAGGGGACTTGGAGGAGACCTTTCAATGACTCACATGAGACAGACCTCCATGAATAAGGTAATCACCGTGCCTACACACCAAGCTATTTATTTTGTCACGCTCTGCTCTATCTTAGAATACATTCAGGACTAAGCTCCAGTGCTCTGCTACCTAACCAATACTTCATGGCAAAGACTAAAGGATGTCTGTAACTACCCTTGTGCCCAAATCTGGGCCATATGCTCTTTAACCCCTCCCCTCCCACACCAACACACAAATTTAGCTTCTTAGTATTTAGGTAGGTTGACATTCAAAGTTCTTACTTAAAATTCATTCTGGCCTTCCAGTCCAAACACAAGCAGTTGCAAGCACAGCAGGTGACAAACTGGAAGAGGATGGTTCCAGGGCATTCCCTACAGAGAGCTACTTATGAGTTCAGTCAGGAAGGAAAGAAAAGGAAGCAATAAGAGCAGAAGCGCATATGCCTTTGACAGATGTGCACAGGCCTGTGGAGGGGTCATGTCTCTGTTCTAGGCTAGCAAGGTGGATGCTGTCTGACAGTGAGCAGGGCTTTAACACTCATTATCATTTGTAACGCAGTTACATAAACCACTCAGCAATGTATTCTATAACCATTCTGAAATCACTAACAGTCTAATGTGCAGAAATGTTCCATTGCACACTGGAGACAAACACTGAAAATTTTAAAAAACTTCCTAAGGAAAAACTGAGGAGCTAGTGAGATTTCACTTTAATGTATATGCACTAAAGTGTAATTATTATTATTGGAGTATTGCTTGAAAATACTCATGTGACTAGCTATAAAACAAAGAGGCTGGTACATTTACTTATGCTGAATAAGGAACAATAACTGAATTATAACCATGATGCAATTATTATAGAATTAATTTCTTAAAGAGGTCTGACAAAAAATAATTGATGTTTCAGCTTATATTCAAATGATCCACCCAAAGTTCACAATATAAACTGTAACTAACAGTGTGTTTATAATATATGCATTAACATGATGATAACTTAAGTTTCAGGACAAAAACTGGCTCACATAGCAGTCATTCTTCTATTACTTAAACACCATTGAATACCAGTGGACTGGTTCAAGTTCTTTACAAATCAAAGAGCAAAACTCCAAAGTTCTTCAGAGAAAATGTAGCATGAGTCAAACTACAATTTTTTTTATCCCCATAATTAGTTAAGATTTTCTAGTTCAAAAGAAAAGGTCATGTCCAGATAATTAAAATAACATAACTTGATATGCTTATCAATATAAACTTTTTGATAGTTATAGAACATGGTTTTTAGTATTATCTCATTTTCAAGTTTTTAAACAAGGGGAACTACTCTAAGTGTTCCTGTAACAAATATTAATAAACTACCTCATATTCATTAGAAATAAGTCTAAAACTAAAACAGGTTCTTAAGGATCTACTCAAGTAATTCTTTACTTAATTTTAGAAATTTTAATTACTCAAATAATTCCTTTACAGGCCATAGTTATAGCAGGTATGCATATTTGACACTAATTTGTGCACTGCCCAGCTCCTCAGAGGCTGTGTGATCATTACATTGCAGGTCTGATGGGATACATGGTAGCTCAGCCATTCTCACACGTATTATAGGTTACACTTGGAATGGTAAAGCAACAACACCCTAATATTCAGAATGAAAGCTTTCTAGCACCAAGAGAAGCTTATTACTCAGAGTGTAGAATGACCAATCTCAGCAGTTGGATAAAGTCCTTTCTACAGCTTATCATGGTCAATTAAAATTGTTTTGATTTTCATGTAAGGCCTCTACTTTCATGACACTGACTTGAATTGTGGATTTTAAATTTTTGTTTAAAATAAGAGTCATTCCAAGATAAAGCCTAAATCTTCTAAACATTAACATGTTGTTCGTTGTTCCTCTATAAAAGGGAATTGGTGTGTGTGTGTGTGTGTGTGTGTGTGTGTGTGTGTGTGTAGAAATAGAAAACGGAGAGGAAAACTTTTCCTCTCCTTTAAGATATCTATGACCAAATACTTGAGTAGAAGTCCCCTATTTTAATAGTGGTAGTCTATGCAACTCTCCTGAAGAAATGTCTTTGTGTTTGTGTGTGTGGAGCTGGGGATACCAAGACAGCCTCTACCACTGAGTAAACATTCCCCAGCCCAAAGCAATACTTGCTTTTATACTAATAATAAATTCCCATAAATTTTATGATGGTACTATACTACCATAGTGAGGATCAGAAGAGACACTGACCACAGATAATTTATTCCAGGCACAGGGAAAAAAATATTACAATTATATTGTTTACAATTCTCTTAAGAAAGCTTAATAATTACAAGCTAAATAGCATACTTAATAATTACAGTGAGAAGTAATTTAACCCCTAAATCCATACAATTTAGCATGTCTTCAACTGAGAGTGCCACATCTGCACACTAACACACCTTGTACCTTCAGGGAAAACAGGGCCTTTGAGCCTCTGGCTACACTTGCTGGCCATATATCACAGTAACAATAATGCACCATAAAAATTCAAGATCAGGATTAAAGGGAAAAGCACCATAGAATAGGAATCACAGAATAGCAATTATCTGACAATATTACCCAACTTTGAATAGATATCACCAATTTGGAAACAAAATGTTCTGTAAGACATTGGAGAGAGTCCTACAGAGCCCAGGACTTCATTTTCAACTCAAATACTACATTATCAATGTAGAATTCATGTCTTTTTTTTTCTTTTTTTTAAAGACGATGGTTTAAATCCAGCTTCACATTTAAGCCCACTATATTCTCTCCTTAAAGGAAAAAACTCTTACACATTTATGATTTTTAAATGTTTTCAATTTAATAATTCATTCATTTGTACTAGTCCTTAATAATCAATCTTCATAGCCACATCTTTATTTCATCAACAATCATCTCAGACACACCTTCTGACAAGACTTTCAACATTACGACAAGAAACTATGCCTTCAGGAGCATGTTTATTGTGTTTGAGATGATACATCAGTGCTCTCTGAGCTACAAAGGGTAAAAGGAAATCCTCTCATTACAAACTGACAAAGGTAAAAGGTAAAACATTTTCACAACAGCATGAACCACATACTCAGAAAAAGATCTGGGCTTAATACAAATGACATAATTCCTAGTCATCTACAGCTACTTTTATAACTTCATACAGATAATGAATTAGGCTAAAATGCACTATAATATTTGGTAGACTTCAGGACCAGTATCCTTAGTACATCACAAAATACATTTTGATATCCCAAAGAAGCAAGACTTGCAAGTAGGCATTTTAAACATAACTATTCTACAGCTACAAAGTTCTACTCTTGATAGCATTTACCTTTTGGGGGAATCTCCCAGTCTCCAAAGGATAAAGGCAGAGAGTAGAATCAGTATAACATATACACAGAAGTCCGTATTGTAAAGGCTATAAAGATCCGCAGCACAGTGGGAAGAGGCCTTCTGCTTCTTCACACTGCATACAAATCATGAGAATTATGTTGCGTATCTCTTGGTCCACTGTCTGGCTATCCTGTCATGTTCTGCTCTGTTGGTCAAATACTGAGTTGCTATGCTTCCAACCAGAGGATCCGCTGGAAAAGTGAAAATGACATTAAAACATCATGTGTGCTTTCCATGTACAGTTCTAACATGGCATTACATTAAAAGTTATATTTTGGTGGCATTTTTAATACAGAATGTTTTGATTTTTTCCAAAGAAAATAATTTAACTGGCTATATATTTTACTATTAAGAAAGTCAATGGTAAATTAATAATTTCTTAAAGGATGTATTTTATTTAACAAATATTTCAAACTTCACTGTAAATCATACATGACTACTGTATATACATTATTTCTACTTGCATCTCTCCCTGAACCATGGACTCAAATTCAAGACCTCTTCTTTCATTATCATTGTTACACATATGTACACCCTCCCCCATTTTAGGTCAAATCTTTAGAAATAACATATTATTGCTTCTAAGCAGCCAACTGATTGTCTGTAACTCTTCATTTGGTTTAGGCACTTGTGATACACACACACACACACACACACACACACACACACACACACACACGCTAATTACTGAAGTCATTATGCATGTCTTGCTTAGGCAACCTAAAATATTCTGTTGTGATATCATGTATACAGCATCCCAGTCACGTTATTCTTGACATTTTATTCAACTATAGAAGTGTGGTATAAGTTGCATTTCTGTAATGTTATGCATCTTAGCATAAGTTTTACATAAAGCTTCCATCCTAGTATACCATTCAGAATGAAATGCTCCCTGATGGTCACACAGTTATGTCTCTAATTATAAACATAAGCCACTAAAAAACTTGCCTGTCATTTCATTTTAAATAATTTTGAAGTAAAAATTGAATCTGAGATAAAAAGTTTCGTAAGCAAAGTATGTGTACATGGTACATATAGAAAGTGTTCCAAATAAAGCCAACGCATAACAGTAAAAGCTTCCCCTTCTAGACTCCAAAAATTCAGGATCCTCTCCCTGGCAAACAGCTACTAACACCTTTAAATTATTTTTTTTCAGATATTCTATATATGCCTTATATCTAGGACTTAACAATAAATGTATCTTTTCAAGATCCCTATATCTTGACATACTAGACCTTAAAGACTGTCTCCCTGTAAGCTAAGAATTGTTCCATGCTTTAATCACTACAGTCTCTTAGTGGACACTAAGATTATTTCTAATTGTCTGTTTAAACTAATGCACAATTAATTATCTCTTCTCTTCCTCCTTGAACCCTCTCAAGTCTAATAGCTAAACCTACACAGTAGTAACATGTGAAACTCTAGATCTAACCATGACTCTAACAAGTCTGGCACTGTTCAATTTCTTATGAGGCATTTCAGAAGTCATTAATTATACATTAATAACTGAGCTTATACAGTAACAATCTAGGCTGATTTATGAGTGGTAAATGCAATATCCATTACCATTCTATTTAATACAATTAGTTTTAATACAAAAAGAGAGAAACCCTCAGTTATTGGGTATGTACAGTAAAGCACATGGCAACATGGAAGGAAAGGAAATCAGGAGACACTGCTCAAGCCTGACAGAAATCATCTATATAGCCCCACAGTTTAGAAAGTAGAGGTTCCATAGCTGACAGTACAAAAATAATCACAAAGGGTAGAATGTCACTTTAGCTATGTAAAGATGTGTTACATTTGTTTCTACTGCCTTTGTGAAGGCTGCAAAGATGTGTGACATTTGTGTTGCATTTGTTTAATTATGTAAAGATGTGTTGCGTTGCTGTTTCACCTGCTTGTATAAGGCACCTGGAATGGTCTAATAAAAAGCTGAATGGCCAACAACTAGGCACTAAAGGGATAGGAAGGGGCTGGGGGGAGGGGGGAGCAAGGAAGAAAGAAAGGGACATGCCCGGGCCTGCTAGCCAGCCAACCACCAGACAGACAGACACAAGAAGCACTGATAGGACAGGACAGGACAGGGAAAGACGAAGGAAGGAAGGGGAAGGAAAGAAGGGGAAGGAAGGAAGGAAGGAAGGAAGGAAGGAAGGAAGGAGAGGAGGAGGGAGGGAGGGAAGGCAAAACACAGATAAAGAGAAACAGATTAAAATAAGGGTTAAAGTAAGGCCAAGCATTCATAACTGATGGTAAGTCTCCATGTCATGATTTGGGAGCTGGTTGGTGGCCTAAAAGAGGCCTGCTACATGCCAATAATAAATTAAATGATTATCAAGAAATGTTTGGCCCACTGTCTAATTGAAATGACATTGATTTTTCAGAATTGCCTTTGGTTTTTTTGAGAAAGGGTCTCACCAGATAGCCCCAGCTAACTCAGAAGTCTATATAAGAAGTCAGTCTCAGACTCAGTATCTGCTGACTCACACCCCATGCCTATCGCTCAAAAATATCTTATGCTAACTTCCTATAATATTTCTTGACCAACATTAAATTAGGAAGACTTATTTGTAGATTTACAAAGATTTGCTTACCAGGGTTGCAGTCTGTCAAAAGGGAACAAATTGAGAGCAAAACCTTTGAAATAGTCAAAGCAGGACTCCAGTTGTCTTTTAGAATATCCAGGCAGATGACTCCCTGACTGTTGATGTTGCAGTGATAGATTCTGGTTCGAAAGGTAACCTATACATGGTGACAGTAGAAACAGGAAGAAAATAGGGCTGTCATAAATTCACTTCAGCAGTAACACATCACAGACGCTGCTCACAACAAATAATGAACCAGTGGTAATCTTAGGTTGGGTGTAACAACAAAGTTAAATAGTTTTGTTTGATTTAGTTTAAAATACACACACACACACACACACACACACACACACACACACACACACACACACTCTATAGTATAGTACCGAAAGAGCTATGTTTGGCTTAGGTTTTGTTAAGGTTGTTTGGTTTTTTGCTGTTATTTTGTTTTTGACATGAGTTCTAGATACATAGCTCTGGCTGGCCTGAACTTGCTATGCAGACCAGGCTGGTTTCAAATTTACAGCAATCCTCCTGTCTCTGTAGTGTATGCCTATAATCCCAGTACTCAGGAAACAGAACAGGACGGATCTGGTAGCGGGCTGTGGGGGAGGGGAGAGCTGCTAGACAATTTCCATTTCCACTAATGTTGCTAATAAAAATGTAATTGGAAATGTAATTCCTCACATGCAAATAATCCTGTTAACTTTCTTCCCCCATTTTTTCTAGTTTGTTAAAACCAATTTCCAATATGAAAAACTAGGCATGTAGAAGGATCAGTATTTATAAAAATGGACATAAAGTTTACTAATGTTTTATTATATAGAAAACAACCAAAGAATAAAAATTCAGCAGTCAGTAATAAGCTGACATTAAATATGTATCATTCTCATGAGGATCCAATGTGTGGCACCATAACATGAGAGTTCTGACCCTTGATTTGACTTAGAAAGGCAGGCCTATACACCCGAAGAATTTTTAAAGATAACTTTTAGGACTGAGATTCTAATGGGCCAAACTGTAAAATACTCAAACACAGTCTAATTTGGATTTATCTAGGTGGTTAAAGGATCACCTTGTCTAAAAAGGCTGTTCATTTAAACAATGAAATACTACTCAGCTGTTAAAAAAAAATGACATCATGAAATTTGCAAGCAAATTGATGCAACTAGAAAAATAGCATCCTGAGTGAGGTAAACCCAGACCGAGAAAGACAAATATGGTATGTATTTTACTTGTAAGTGGATATTAGCTGGCAAGTAAATCAAGCTACAATCCATAGACCAGAAAGGTTAAGTAAGGAGGGCCATAGAGGGAACAATGCATGGACAACCCTGAGAAGGGAAATAGAATACATTTTACAAGTAGACTGGGGGTTAGAGAGGGTAGCAGGATTGGATGATGGTAGGTGTGTGTGTGGGGGGGTGGGGGTTGGGGAGAGAGACAGCTGGAGGACTACTAGTAATGGAGGATATGGAGTCTTTGTAGCCAGGCAAGTCTGCAGTGGTGGGACTGGGTTGCATTCAGTTGAGCTGTTGGCCAAGAGGATCTTGTGAAGATCCCTGAATAACCCAGGCTGGTGTAAGGACAGAGGGTCACTTTCCACAAAGAGAAAGCAAGGCCTGGTTGCTTAGGACAACAACTGAATTAACTCATTGAATGTTGAGATGTTGAGCTGATACCTACATGGAGCCTTCATCTCTACCTTCCAGCCCTTTTGGTGTGGGAATATACTCTGCAGGCTACAGAAAGAGAAACCTGGATACCAACCCAGCCCCCAAACCCTCAGGCTATACAATCTGTCCTGCCTGCTAGATGTGCTGGGGAAATGGTGGCACAGAACATGTGGAAATGGCCAAACAATGTTTGTTTTAACTAATGCCCACTCCAGAAGGAGTCCATGCCCCTCGATGCCTAGATGGTCAGGAACTAGAGACTGGATAACCCAGAAACTTAGGGTTACACAAAACATGACTGACAAAAGACAAAAAACAAGAAACAAAACATGCCATGATTCCGAATTATATTCTGCTACACTCATAATTGTGTGCCGTGTCCCGCTGACATCACCAGAGAGAGAACAGGTGCAGAGACCTACAGCCAGATACATGGAGAGAGTCTAAATTAGAGGTCTCCATCAGGTCCCTTCCCTTGGAGACCGGGGAATCCCATGGGGTGGGGAGAGATTGTAGGAGTCAGAAGATACAGCAGACACCAGAAGAACATGGCCCTCTGAATCAAGTAAACAGAGTTCATATGGGTTCACAGAGACTGTATATAAGTTATAGCTGTTAGCTTGGTGGTTTGTGGGGCTCCTAATACTGGAAATAGATGTGTCTCTAACCCTTGCATGTTCCAGACTCTTTCCTTCTGTTGGGTTGCCTTGTTCAGCCTCAATATGAGGGCTTTTACCTTTTCTCACTGCATCTTGTTTTGTCTTGTTTGGCTGTCTTCTCTTGGGGGGCCTTCTCTTTTCTGAAGAGGAAACTGGAGAGGAAGTGGATATGGAGGAGAAGAGAGGAGGGGCTGGGAGGAGTAGAGTGTGGGGAAACTGTGATGGGGATATAGTATATGAGGGAGGGAGGACGGGAGGGAGAGAGAGGGAGGGAGGAAGGGAGGGAGGGAGGGAGGGAAGGTACCTGTATAGAGGGAGGTATACACCACTAGGTGGGACTTTGTTGAAATGTTAGAGAATACATTCCAGAAAATGTACTTTCTAAAAATCCAGTCTTTACAGAAACAGACATCCGATAGACAGATGACAGACACACACATAGATGAGATAAAGATACACACATATATACATACATCATTACATATATTTAAAGAGTTGATTTAAAAAGAAAAGCATTTCACACAGAGAAATCCCATAAAAATCAGAGACTTTCTTGGCTTTTTCTTTTATTTGTTTATCTAATTTTATTTTACTGTTTTAGGTGCCTGTTTGTGTCCCAAGGAGAAAGAGAAAGAAAAGGTCGATTTGGGTTGATGGGGAAGGAGGACAGATCTGGGAGGAGTTGGGGGAGGGGAAACCATAACTGGAATGCATTACATCAAAAAAAAAATTTATGCAATTGAAAAAAAAGGTGCAGAGCACTTTACTAGTTGGAGGCCATGGTCCTGAAAACCTCCCTGGCACACTGGATTCCTCTTTAATAAACTCAGCTACAAAGGCTAAGCTCCAGGTTTTTTACTTGAGTACTTTATAATGAGAAGTCAGAGGAAAAAGCCCTTCAAGTAAGTACCATGTTTTCTGTTTGTTATCAAGCTGAACACTCAGGTTAAATGAATTAAGAAGAAGGGAAAAGTGAGCCTGTCACTCTATTTTACACTACACTCACAGAAGGCAAAAAATGAGAGTGTTAAGTATTAGTTTTTCCTTTTGTCAGTTTTCTAGTTTTTGCTTATCTATAAAGACAAAATCCTTATTATTAACCTATTTCTGAAAGCTATCAATAAGGTTTATTTCATAGAGGGAGTTTTACATAAGTTTCTATTTATGTTTTAATCAATGTGTAGTTTTATTTACTATTAACTATTTTGAATATAAAATTATTTTTAAAAAGCCAGAAGTCTGTAACATTTTGGTTTCAAAATAACTGAGTTTCCATATTAATTCATGAACAACAATGAAAGCAAATTATTACATTAATATACATGTAAATTCTAGAATACCTGGGTTTGGGAGAAGGGTAATTAATCAATGTATATCTAGGTTCTTACCTTTGGTGGTTTAAATGGATAATCTGAAGAAAATGTGATATCCAGAAAAAAAACACCACCTTCATATACAGAACCTGGTGGACCAAGTATAGTTGACCTCCATTCATAAATGTTATCTCCTTTAGGGCCAGCACTATTTAAAAGAAATAAAAAAAAGTCAATATACATCCTATATAAATACCTGTATACATGTCTATAAAAATTTAGGTTAACACCTAAAGATGAATACAAAATTAGAATTAAATTAAATAAGCAATCTAAAGCAATGAGATAAGTGTGCTCAAGTACACATGCATAAATTTTGAAATATTCCAAATAAACAGAAATTACAATGAAAACACAACTACTATATAACTTTACCCAACACCTCATAACTTTTGCTATTTGCCTCCTTTTCTCCCTCCTTCTCCTGCTACCCCTACACACACACACACACACACACATTTATCCTTTCCATGTAAACACTTAACGTGTGCTCTTCCAAAAAATAATTTACAAATCAACAGTTACAATTTCAGTAACTATGTCATCCACAGTAATCTAGAATCTGTACGATAAAACTGTAAACTAACTCTAATACACTTAATATTCTCCCCCAGGTACAAGGTATTGGGATCAAGAAAATCTTATGTCTTATACTTTTAATCTATTCTGTGATGGGATTTTATTATGTAACCCCCAGGCTGGCCTAGAACTTCCAATACTCTTGCCTGCCTATTTGCAGTGCTATTAATTGCAGGCATAATCCCCCATGTGCACCTCACCACACCAACTTAAGCTCTATGCCTTAACTTTCCTTTAACATGGGTCCTATCATTACTTAATTTTTCTTTTATTTGACAAATAAATATGCAAGACCATTTGAGTTTGTCTGTGGTTCTCTCATAATGAGACTCAAACAATACACTCCTAACCAGAGAAGTAAATAAGTGGTATGTTATTTGGGGGGGTCATGACAGTTTGAAGTACATGATATGGTGTCCTTTTCCTCACTGGTGATGTTAAACTTCAGCCATAGAAGACGCCTTCCAAATTTCCTACTGCTTAGTTACTATCTTTCCCTGCAACCGATATGTATTCTTTGGTCAGATTACAACCATGCAAATAGCCTACTCTTCATTCAAATTTCTCCTCTAGATTTAATATTTATTTGGAGTCCTCTGAAATTTACTATGATATTGGCATAATGATGATTTTTCAACTCCAGTTCTTTCTCCACATTTAACAGCTGTCTTGAGCCCCGTCTTGCCCTATGTGTTTATATGTTATGTTACTGATATGGTCTCCTAAATTACTAAATCTTTTCAATGCTTTACAATTTACTACTGCTTGAATCATCCCATATTAGCCCGGTGGGAGGGCCTACAAAACAGCTTCTAACATGCTGGCAACATTTTAGAGTCCATTCTTCCTTTCTGGCATGAAAAGATGCTCTACTCTTCCAGTCCTCGAATTAGCTTCAGGAACCTTGGGTCCTTGTAGGAGAAATGTTAGGAAATCAAGACTTGAATTCTGCTGAACACATTAACATAATGCATTGTGCTCAACATCAGTATCATTTATGGAATAAAAACTAACAGTTCAATATAATCTAAACTAAATTTGTTGTTAGTAATGCAACTCTATGATGCCTATAAACATCCTTCAAACACACCTTACAAATTCCCATTTTCCTCTATTTTTTCACCCATATCTTTAATCATGTGTATATGCGGGTGGTGTGAACAGGAAGGACATGTGTACATGAGTAAAGGTACCCACAGAGTCTAGGAGACAGTTTCAGATCCTCTGGAGTCTAGGGCCACCTGATATGGTGCTGGGAATCAGATCCTCTGTAAAGGCATCATATTTTCTTAATGGCAGAGGCATGTCTCCCACCCATGTTCCTCTAGGTTTTTACACCACAAATTATCTTGGCTTTATACATGTAAATATGCATATGCTTTTGTTCTTTTAAACTACCCATCAATTTAGAAGTGATCTGGAGGTCCTATTTAAATAGTAAGTGTGAAACAGTACTGCAACCATATTAAAAGGGGGATCATTTTAACTACATGTTATTAACTCTGCAAGACTGACACCGAAAAACTAGAAAACTTCAGAAGACAAAAATCTCAACAAAAGCTATTCTATAGTCTCAAATGTTTCTATTCATGTCTTTAATTTCACTGTGGCTACTTCTGCTTTCCTGGCAGGCTTTGCAAATATTACTTGTATAAGTACCCAAATACACATGACCCAACTTCCAAATAACCAAATTGCCCAGAACACTTAAATTATAGATGACTGAACAGAAGTCAAGCTGAAGTCAATGCATTTTAATGGACTGTAGAATTACAGACTGAAAAGATGATGCTTTGGATAAATCTACCAACCCTTGAGGAAATCAAGATGGAGGGGGGAAAGAATCCATCTTAAATTCCATTATGGGGTAGAAGAGCTGAGATTCCCACTGGGAAACTAAACTCTTGATCCTATGTTTGCTTTTTTTTTTCCCTCTCTCTCATACGACATGAAAAGGGGTTCATTTAACCCTATGATAGCAGGACATTAAGTGTGACAGAAGCACCTGGCCCAAGGAGTCTATTTTTGTTTTCATTAAGGCATCATTTGGACTAGAGAGAGGCTGGGACAAATCCACCAAGAGGAATGGGAAAAGGTAGCTTCAGGACTGAGTCCATTAACTCAAAGCATTTTATAGGCTAGCAGAAGACCTGCCTCTGAGGCCTCACAGCTGAGGGGAGGGGGGGGGGGATGATAATGACCAAACATTTCCTGTATCTTTCCTGACTAATCTCCATTCTTTCTGTTTCTGTCCCTTCCACAGGGCAGAAGTCTACAAACTTCCACTTTGCTGTACACTGTCTTAGTTCCATCCCAGAGAACATCATCCACAAGAATCCAACCATGCCATTTTCCCCAAACGTGATTTAAAAAGAAAAACAAAAACAAAAAAACAAAACTGTTTCTCTAAACCTTCCAGCTTTCATCTTATTACTGTTCCCTTTAATAGAAAAACATCCTTCCAAGTTTTGTGGCCTCAAGCCCACAGCAATTTGCGTTGGCTTTGTGGTAGGATTATAATCAGGTGCTACCACCTCCAGCTTTATTTGTTCTTGATATCACTATGATAAAAATCAAGTTTCAACAAGGCACTTCAACTCCAGACTTAGTTATCTTAATAGTTATTTTATAGTTTTGAATTTTGCATTCATTTTCATGTGGAATGTGGCTGGTTCTCAACTATCTTTCTACATCTTAAAAACAGGTAAAACTTAGTAATAATCATAAATAGCCAAAGAAACAAGCACTCCACACCTATAAATTGGCCTTAATTATGTTTAGAATCACATAATTTGTACATTGCCCATAATTACACAGAAATACATTAGTGATGTGGAAATATACAGTGTCTTACCATAACTGAAAAAATAATTAACTGATCATGTAGCTAACCCCTGAAAAACAAGTTCAGTAAAAGAACATCATTAAAGGCTATCCCACCTACTCACTACTTCAAAAAAGTCCTATATATAACATATCAGAATTTATATGTATCTGTTGTTAAAGGACACTGCAGAATTGGTTAATTTCATTTAAAAATAAATAACCCTGGAAATGAAACTGATTACTATTAACATTCCTAAAATAAGCAGTAACTCTAACAGTGATACATATTCCCACAAAGGCAATTACCACAGCCTCTTAGCATGAGTACAACAGAAAGGAAGGAAGAGATTAGAAAGAACTCTCAAATTAGATGAATCTTCTAAGGACAATTAAGAAGATAAAAACAAGAAGTTCACCAAAAACCTTCCAGTTGGTTGCATACATTCCTGGGATTAAGGTAAAATTCGATAAATGAATGTTTATGCATTGAAAGAATATTAAAGGTACAAACACTAGCATCTAGAGCAGTACAAAATTATATAAAACCTAAATCTAAATATTCATTAAAAAAGAAATCTGCTAGTCATGGTGGTACCACCTGTAATTCTAGCTAGCACTTTGCCTTCCTATATCCAACAATTCCTGTGCCCTACTTCTTCTTCCCAAATTTATAACCTCCTCTTCAGTTACTAATAACATATGTACATATGCTCATACATAGATGTATGTATTTAGCCTACTGGATCCATTTACTGCTGTTCATATGTACATGGATTCAGGATGACCACTTGAAATTCAGAAGCCCATTCCTGGAAGAAACTTTCTCCCTCTTTCAGCAGCCACTTACTGTCTATAGCTCTTGTCTAGAGGAGGGCCAGGTGGAATTTCTCCTGTCCACACTGGCATATGTCAACTGGTATTGTCATTATGCCAGTTCTGCCCAGGGACTATACTGTTCAGATTTCATGGGTGGATTTTCATTGTCACATTTAAGGGATACAATCTCCCAGCAGGTGTTCTAGGCCTATTGGTTCTTATAACTTCTATGCCCCCCTTCTGTGATTTTCCCTGAGCTTTAGGTACAGAGGTTACACTGCGGATCACTAATTGGGGTTGGAGACCCCATAATTATTTATTCTCAACATTTTTAACGATTTGTGGAACCCTGTTGTCGTCTTTAACTACTGCAAGAAGGTGCTTCTTTGATGAGGGGGTGAGAGCTACACTTACCTGTGGACATAATGATACATATTTAGGACACAGTTACACATTATATTGGTTTAGGAAAATGGTAGGTTCTCCTCTCAGGTCTATAACCGCTCTACTCATGGTTATTTGGCTGGTTTACAATGCCAGGCATGAATTCCCTCCTATTGAATAGGCTATAATTCCAATTAGCTTTTGGTTAACCCCAAGATAAAACCACCACTACTGCACCATTGTGGATATCATGTCAATGCAGTCACTGCTATGTTTTATTAGTCTTTTCAATAAAAGGTAGGGTAGGACTATCAATTGCTCTTCTCCCTTGGTAACCTGCATAGCAGCTACCAGTATTATGAAAACCAGTTCTCAGAAGGAGGCTTTCAGCTCAGTAGTTCCTAGTCCTTTGTCTGAAGAGTGTAGTGGCTTCAGCAATAAAGTTGTAGCATTCAAGCTTTGGAGAGTAACACTGTGCAATGAAAACAGCCCATTCTGTTTGGGGAGATTTGTACCCCAACTAACAGTTTGAGGGGGAGATTT